ACCTCAGTTGCTGTTGCTGTGCCACACCTGGCCCAGCACCTCCCTCAGCACGCCACATCACATGACAGACATACCAAAATAATGCAGAGTGCCTCGACAGGAGGGTGCCGGGCCTGACCTGCACATCCCTCGCCACACCTCGTGACATCACCAACATACCAAAACACAATGCTGAGTGCCGCTAAGGGAGCTGACTGGCCTGCCCTACTCAGTCTGCTACAGTTACAGTTATGGGAAGCTGTACACGTCGCACCGTGGCTCTTTGCAGCTAGTGTAGTGAGATTCCTCTCTGGCAGGGAAGCAATCAGAACCACTGGGAGCTCAAGCCCTCCTCGGTTGCCGATGTCGTCTTGGGCGGCAGGTAGAGGAGACTTAAGGGCGAACCGCTTGAGCTGGGCTGTCCTGTGGTGGTCAGGGGAACCGTGATCACTCTCACGGCCAGGCTGTTGCACCCAAGGTTGATAATGGCCCCTTGGATGGCAAGGAAGTCCATACCCATGATGCAGTCATCCTGAAAAGGGGGCAAGTCAAAACTCGTGGTACAACAGTACTGCCCCCAGCTGGACCTGGTGACGTCGATGATCCTGCATCGGGAAGATCTCCCCCGTCACGGAGCACAGGTGAGTGGTGGCGGGCTCCCAGCCCAGCGGTGTGGGTTTCTCTGTGGCTGGCAAAACTCTGCCCTTGATGGAGACTGTGGAGCCACTGTCAGTCAAGGCGTGACAGCAAACTCCAGGGATGGTGCAGGGCCAGGAATGGGTTCCACCTGTCGCCGACTTGCCCGACAGGGTAGGTGGTCCCAGTGTGGGTCTGAGGAGAGTAGCAGAAATGGGGCGGTGTCTCCCTCACTGCCCCCCGCTCACTTTCTGACATCCCCAGGGTGGATTCTGCGCAGAAGTATGCCCGGTGGCCCCTCTTTCTGCAGCACCAACAGATGAGCTTGTAGTTGTGTGGCCCATGGTCCTGGGTGGACCTTGCTGGGCCACTATCGCCCTTCGGAGCCAACGAGTGCAACTCCTGACCTGCCGCACCAGGATCACTTCTACCCTCTCTGCTTCCATTAGACACACATGTTACTGCAGGCGGTCTAGGAATAGAGGGAAATGGAAGGCCTGCAAGGCCAGATATTCTTGGATGGGCACCAGGTAGTTGGGGTAAGCCTGCTGGGCCAGGGCACTGATGTCAGCGGCCAACACCCCTGGTAACTCTCCTTTGTGGCGGCACGTCACGCAGGACAGGTGTCCGGCATTTGCCCCCCATCTGCTGCTCCCGAACGGTTGCTTCAAAGCCGCAAGCTGAAGTGGGCTTCTGAAGCAACGCCCAGGAGCAATGTCACCCTCAAGCACAAGACCTGTCTGCTCATCCCAGGAGCTGCTTCTTGCCATGAGCTCGAGGAGCTCCCACTGCTGCTCCCCGCTGTGTTTTGGGAGCCAGGTATTTGCTACCAGTGTGTTAGCGAGAGGGGCTGCTTTCAGCAGAATATGTACAACGCTAGCCGTCCGCTGCTGTGGTCTCAGCTCGCTCGCCATGCTCTTCAGATAGGTTATGCAGGGGTGGCCAATCTCACAGTCCTCACGCCTGGGTTTGAACAGTTGACCTACAGGTTATCCCAAAAACGTGCATACACACCGGCCCTTTGCGGATAAGATTCCCACTCCTGACACCAGTGTGACGCCCAGACCACACACTTCCAGAGCAGCGAGAAAGAAGCGAGGCAGCATCTTCAAAACACCAGGCGCTTTATTATGAGCTCTTAAAAGGACAAACACACATGTCAGCGATTACACTGCAGTATACACAAATACAGCTAAGGGCTTACGTAACAATTGGGTAAATGCACATCTATTTACAATAACAAATGCACACAGGGGCTGTTTACACGAATCGCAAACACGCTGGAAAATGCAAATAGAGAGTTGCTTTCTCAGTAGCGGAGGCCAACGCTACAATACTTCATTTAAAACATCATGTGTTAAACTGATCCATATGCATGGATTTCTTTTGTAATACTACGTAAATTATAGCTCAATTTATTGATCTATTATTTATAAGACCTAGTCACACATATCGGTAGCTGTGACAGCTTAGTCTCACTTTCCTGGTATATGGTAAATCACCTGTGCATGCAGATGTACATGCACTAAAAGGTGTAAGGTTTGTTTTTGGCCAAATCCTACTGAAACATACAGCGAGAAGAGCTCTACTTAAAGTGAAACGACGAGCACTAAGAGTCGTACAAATGCATGCAGATGTTTTACATGTTACGTAAAGTAATCATCTTTATTGAAAGAGAATTATTTGAGTCACTCACTACATATGGCGAGAGGAGAAAAGACAGGAGGCAGTTAATTCCGCGAAGGAGCGCGAACTCTTTTTATTATAAGGAAAAGGAAAAAATATCCGGCTACCGCCAAGACATACGCAGCCTACACGAAGCTCTGGCAGGAAGGAAAACACAACCAAATACAAATGCACATCTGCCCTTAGAATTATGACCGACTAAGAACCCGCTACGATAAGTCGTTTATCTTGACAAAGACCCAAATTCATTATAACCCTCTTTGCATATTATACGCTTGTGCATTCAGTCACACATTACTTCCTTTGTGTCTTTTATATCCTGCTTCTGTTCGTTCGACTTTGGAACTCGAATAACAGTATGTTTTAATCTGAGCTTTCTTTTTTCCATTGCATGCCTGGGTTTCAGTGAACTCACGACTCTTCGGCTGGTTTTCGTATTAGAATAATATTAAACTAAAAACTGAGAAATTGTGAGAGTCAGGGCTGAAGGGGGAACTGTGAGTTATTTAAATAAAGAAAACCAGTTCTTCTTGTAAAGAGATTTGTTAGTCAGAGCTGTTTTGCAACATAACCCGGTGTATTGCGTTGTGAGGGAGCGGGTTGTGGGCTGGGGAAGCGGATGAGGTCTATGGTCGCCAGCACTTTGACCACAAAAAGATACGAGAGCCGAAGAACAAGTCAAAAGCAATGTCTGGAAAGATGTTTACTGACACCTCGTGGAACTTATGAGAATTACACCACATCTTCGGAATCTATTTTCTGTGGCTTTCTGCCCTTACCTCAACATATTAAAGGAAAAAATGGGTGATTTCGAGATTCCACTTAACTGCATGACTCTCTGATACAGGAGAAAACTGGAGCACTTGGATGAAACTTGCATAGTAGCATATGTAGCATATAAACTTGCATAGCGCAAGTAGAGAAAGTAATTTCCAGATAGATAAGATGCTGAATTCAACTCCCCCCCCGCCCCCAGTCCCAGAAATGTGTGGTGCCAGCAGAACCTACTCTGATGCAACGTACTAGTTCAGAATGACAACTGATCAACAAAATAAACAGGGAAGGTGAGGAAAAGCAGTCTTCTACCTGCTTAACCTGGACATGTAATTTATGTCTTCAAAATGCAATCAGTGTGGTTTAGTCCTAAATGGATTTTTAGGTACTGAACCTTTGCTGCCATCAAAGATCTGACAGCTGTCCTTCTTATCAGAAATCTCTTTTCTGTAGAATTTAGAAATTAGAAAAATGTGGTCTAATAAACTATGCAGAAACGTCTCTCCCTGCATGTACTACCTCCTAGCTAGATAATTAATGCTTTTCTTTTTGGCCATTTCTCTAGGGTGTTTTCAGTTGGGACAGACTGCAGCTGCAGGAGTACTTGCTATATAAGATAAGTGCATGTATTAGTTTTTGTCATGTAACCACACAATGATTCTCTGTCTGATTTTTTTCAACGCCATATATTTTAGCATTTTTTGGTATAAGCAATTGTCATTGCGAATATCTTGTCAGAACCTTCCAAAGGAAGATGTAGTAAAGGTGCAAGTGATTATATGACCTGCACAACCACCTGACACTAACCCCACTGAGTTGATTTGGTGTGAGATGGATAGATGGTGAAGGTTGCACAGCCAATCAGTGAGCAGTGTTGGACTGAAATATCAGAAAAATAGTTTTGAGTCTTGTGTATGTGCAGAGGTGAAGATTTCAGGTCCAGACAGTACATAAAGAATTTTGAACATAAAGAGTCACTGTCACAGTCACTCAACTGGTTGGTTGAAACAAATTCTTGGTTTGTATTTCTACTCTCTGGACCTGAAATCTCCACCTCTGTGTATGTGGCACGAGTAGTGCTCCAACCATACCCAGCTTCCCCCGATGTATGTTCAAGATCTCTTCAAATGGAGCTGGAGTCTTTCATACACAGCTCCTGTTTCATAGATACCTCCTCATGGGATGCAGGCACTATGCAGGCACTATGGCTTAGGGACTCCCAGACAGTCCAGATTTTTACTCCTTCCCTGCTCCCTGCCAGACAATCCACATTTTTTGCTACTGGGAGCTGGGAGGGAGCAAAAATTTGGACAGTCTGGGGATCACTGAGAACCTGTTTGAAAAACACTCATCTAGAGTAAAACAACCATTTACTGTAACTCTCTCCTGTAATAAAAGATGCTGAGTGGAGGATGGATTCTGCCTGAAAAGCTAAGCCAGCCACCCTGCTGCATGTAGGTATCCCTTCAACGTGTCACGGGAGATGGAATTTGGACGGTGGATGAGATTTCGCATGACAGCTGTCTGCCTCATTTTGGTGTTGACTATCTCATTCACGACTCCTTTTGTCTGTTATGTTCACTGAGATTATTTTCTAGAGCACTTGATTAATTGTACATCCATAATTACCTGTAACCAAATATTTAAGCTCATCGTTTTTCTGTTTCCCAAGTAGCTCCTGCTTATGACCATCCACCCAATGGGTAACAGCTCTTTAAGAGCATCTTAGATGAATTCACCCTTCAGTCATACTGTTTTTAGGCAGTCAGTCTACTTTTACAATTTTTAGTTCCCATTTTCTCAATATTGGAACCTGTTTGGTGATTTCAGGTCTAAAAAATATCAAAATGCAATTAGTATCCTGCCTTGGGTCTTCCATGATGAAATGAGCCTCATGACAGCAGAAACCCTCTCCACTCAAGACGTGAAACTCAAAACTCATTTATTCATTTTTTCCCATCTAATCTCACAGGGACCCACCTGCCCACAGGAGACAGAAAAGATCCAACCCATGAATTGGGAAAGAAAAGAAAAACAAGAAACGTACATGCAAGATTTGTAGAATCCATTTAATCCTACAAATCTGAGCAACAAAAACTAAAATTAAACAAGGGCAAAGATTTGAACGACAATGATTTGGCTGTCTCTCTTGGGACAGCAAATATTTTTTAAAATCCGATTTTAAGAATGACTGATAATCATGGATCCATGTTTTAACAATGACTGATTGTATTTCATAACTGCAGCTCTAACCATTCATCAGTCCATGTGTTCTCAATTCATTTTGACAGTACGATCCACTGTAGACAGCGACTTAATCTTACGTCATCTAATTTCAACATGATTTACTTCTTTGTGTCTAAACACATGAAGTGTTGACCTTGTCAGTAACAGGCAGGACACTTACATTTCAATCTCTGCTCTTGTTTTCCTCTTAACCAAAGAATTACCAGAGTACACCAGAAGCTTATATATTTTTTACATAATTAGTACATATATATATTATACATGTATATAATAGGCATTAAGGGTTAACATGATAGTGCCTTAAAACCAAGTAAGTTTACAGATTTTCCATGTATTGCATGTGATCACTCATGTATGAGTGCAGAATTGAGGGTCAGACCACCTGTCAGTAACTCGTATGTTGCTGCAAAACCAGCACTGTTCTTGGCACAGAGACCGTGCCTGCAGCCAGGTAGGCAGAAGGCCAAGATCAACAACAGGCTGTGATGCTATCTTTGCTGGGAACGAGTCTTGGAATTGCATCACAAGATGAATACAAGCCTGACCTCTAGTGGTGTGGGATTTCCAGCTGTTTCCAACACCGAGCTGTTCCGGTCATTCTCTGGGCAGCGGGGTCAGGGAATTCCGGTTTTACTCACCAAGCGACACCCAGCAGCCCCACCTGTGAGGCAGGAAAGGCCTGTGGCATACGGTCACATGCCCCTCAAGCGCTGTGTTCCAAGACCTGCACCAGGATCGACATGCGAGCGCACACGCGCACACACGCATACAGGCATACAGAGGCTCACACACACACATAGGCACATAGAATCTGAGATACAGACGCATGCTCACACAGGCAAACATACAAACACAAAGAAACACGCATACCGCAGGGGGTTAACAAGGGAAGTGGAAATTGCAGTTCTAAGGCAACAAGCGTGGCGTCATGCTGCTTCCAGGGGACTGGAAGTGACCCCATAACATCACTGCTGGGTCAGCTTTGGCAAGACATAAGTATAAATGCAATCCTATAGTCGCCAGGCAGCAACAATATTACCATGGCGACAAGCTTCTACGTTTGGCATGAAAACGAAACGAAACCTAGGCAAACATCCGGTGTGTTATTTAAAAAGCGTCTTCAAACGGAAGGTGATTTACAGTGACACAGTTTCAGTGTGTACAGTTGTGAGTGGGTAACAAGACTGGTCCCCTTTGTGTCTTAGGCTGGTTAAAGAAGAAAATTATCACAAAGTATGTAGATAGAAAATGAATAAAGTTCAGTCTTGGTTAAATGATCCAGGCGTGGAATTTCACTAATGACAGATTCATTAAGTACCTGTGATGAAACTCACAATATTTATAAGGCTTTTCTGGGCAACATCACAAAAGCAAAAAAATTACGGCACCAACTGGACAGGAGGAACGGCTGTATTACGGGGCTATTTAATAAATTAACTTTCCACACCTATATGATGTTTTCGTAGGAAATTTGGAAATATGCTCAAGTATTGGGCTGCAATAGTTCAGGATCCCCCAGGACAAGCTGTAACCAAGACTAAAATGCTACGTAAAGCCCAACAGAGCTTGAATACAATATACTGGAAACGTACCCGATGGGGAACCAGCTCCTGAGCTTCCAGACCCCCCCACAGTACTAAAGAACAAGCAAATTGGGAACCAACAGGAAGTACCAATACCTGATAGCATCGTACTGAGTGCATATAGGAGAAGGATTTCCGAAAACATCAGACACCTAGATTTTTAGCCGCCTATTCTTAAAATGTTTTAATAAGATAAGGTGGTGTGTGTGTACATACTTTCAACATCTAATTGTATGCTCATTATATATAATATTAGTGAAACCGGAATTACCGGAACTGCACTACACACGTTCTGTACAGAGCAATGTTATTACAGAAACAGTATCATACAGTACACAAAAGTTTCTACTTAGCATACTGACATAACTGTCATAAACACGGGCAGTCTGAGCTTCTTTTGGCAAAAGTTGACTTTTCATTCCCGATCGCCTTACAAAGTTTTTAAATCGCTTTATAGTGCTTTAAAATTTGCCACAGGACACTGGTTATTTTTAAGGTCAGTTTAGTGACTATCTGTGATCACATGACTCATTGGAAACTGTGAGTGTTTCCTTTATGCATTTACATGCAAAGAGAGCAATAACGAAAATAAAGACTGCATTTAGCGCAGGATAGTAACAAGCCATTGACAGCTTTGGATTAAATATTACATATAAGGACATTAATGTGATACTGTCCAACATTCTCTGCCCATAAATCTACAGCTGGGAAGACTATGTTTGGGATTTAAAATTTTGTTAGAGAAGAGTAGTATTTTAATAAGATCAAAAGTAAACATCAACACTACATCAAAAAGTAAAAAAAAAAATATAAAATCCAACAGATCTATTTCTTCTCTGTTCAATGGCTTCTGTTTAGTAGACTTGGCTGTTGCGGATCCCACAGCAGAGAACCATACTGAAGATCATCGCAAATATCTGAAGAGCAGAAGAAGAGAGAGTCAGACCAAAGGACATTTCAGCTTGCTGTTGCTTCACAAACTACGAGATGTTTACAAAGAAAATGACATTTACGACTAGTAATGCACTTTTTTCTGCCTGAGAACATGCCATAGTTTAGAATACCAGTTTCATATGCTGCCTTTAGGACATCTGTGACTTTTGACTTGGGTAACTGGTGTTTCTGCAGTCTGTGAGAGAAGCAAACCAGGCACGAATGACACTAATACCAACCATGATAACAGCAACCACCAGAGCAGCGATGCCGACCAGGTACAGCTTTTCAGAGAAGAGCCCTGTTATCCTCTCGTGGCAGTTCTGTAAAAAAAAAAGAAGTTTAAGATCACGATTTTATCACACATGCATTAACAAGTACTGTGAGTAATGTTCTGCACCCATAAAACAATGACAATTTTATTTGTTCTTCCTGAGAAGATGAATGGAACAATGTTGTTAGTCCCTATTGATCTTCCATCAGGAATAAAACAAGCTTCAGGAGTGCACTACTGTTTCCAATGAGGATACACAAGGAGATACACAGAGGAGAACAGCTTACCGTCTTGGTGGGCAAGAGTACTTCCTTCTTGGGGCACAGTTTAGTAACCAATGTATCAGTCAATAAATTCCATAATCCCCCCTTTCCACAGCAATCCAGCTAAAAGAGAAATATGCAAATCACTTAAAACAAAACAAACAAAAAAACACACACACACACACACACACACACACACACACACACACATCTGATCCTTCCTTGTACATTTATGGGCAGGCAGCCATCTCCATAAGAAGGCTCCTATGCACCAATGCTGCTTGGAGCTCTGTTCACCACATCTGAAATGATTTAGGAGTCTCTTCCTCATTGTATACCATGGCATACCATCTTACCGTAATACCACCCAAGCCTAACTTGAAAACTGTTCATAAATAAGGAGTTCACCTGTCTTTTCACTACATCGCTTGAATTTGTGTGTGTTGCAATGCATCTGCCCTCTTCAGGTCTGGTGGAATTTCATAGCTGATCAAAAGCATACATGGAGAACTGATGTATAAACTAGGCTTAATATCCATTAGTTACATTAATTCCTTTACTCATTGTTCTTTGAATGCTCTTACTTTGCATTTACTGGCCCTTACGTGGTCTTATTAGGTCCTTACTTTGCTAATAATTATGTGTAGTTGTGTGGCTGCTGTGTAGGGCTCCTGTTCCTGGGTACCCATTGAAAGATTATTGTGAGCTACTCGGCCTCATTGCCAGCCTTATGCTGAATCCTTGATAGCAATATGCTATTTGCCTCAACTGTACATTGCTTTGGACAAAAGTTATTGGTAAATATGTAAATATAAATCTAAACACAGAGAACACAAAGAACAGCCAGCTAGATGAAAGCTAATCTTACAAATACTTCTCCAAGCCAGGGTCGCGAGTTATATAGTGATACTTCATATACAACAATGATGCATTGCTTGGGAGGAAAGCATAGATTGCATGTGGTTCCCCACAATATAATTTACACATGACCACACACATACACACAGCCAGTGGTGAGTACTGAACCCACAAACCTTGGAACTATATATACAAGGCCATTCTTGTTTCATAGTGCCACAAATTACTCTTAATATTTAGATCACAATATGGCACCCAAGACAAAATACAAAAAAAACATCATTACTTTCTACAATAACTTACTCAGTGTTTCCCCTACCATTATATTAGGGGGGCGCCCCGCCCCCCCTTGAAGGTCAAGTTAATTTTATTTAATTTTATTTTCTATATAGCGCCAGATCACAACAGAAGTCATTTAAGGTTACCTTTCCTATAGAACAAGTCTATACATTGTCCTTTTATTAAACAAACTAAATAGTCTTATTTTATTTATCTTATTTACATAACAGCTTGTTATTTTTGTCTCTACACGGTCGCACGTTTACAGTTCTCCTCTGCTCTGTATCGCGCATGGCGGAGTTCCGCCCCCATGCACGCACACAGACACGTGCGCGCACAAACAGGTGAGCACACTCCCACCAGCGGACAGAGATGCGCGTCGGAAAATATGTCGCGTCAACCGCCTGAAAAGCAGACAAAAATATCTGCTTTGTTATACTGACTGCTGTCATTAAAAGAAACACATGAACACCATGAATCCTGTCGGTGTCCGTCTCCTGGATTCTATAGTCCTTAACCAACTGTGTAAATACACTGACAATCTGTGCTAATACAGGTCACCTTACATCACATATCACAAATTTATCGCCACTACGGTGACCTGATTCATAGCCTTAAGCTGAACAGCTACATCTGCAATGACCCCTGACCCCTACATGCCAGACAGCTCCTGCCTATTAGAATTATACTTGGCTGACTCAACAGAGTAAGGTAAATGAGCTTACATTAATGATTGTGGTTTCAGTGAGAACTCACAGCCGGTCCTCCTGGCTGACTACAGTGGCTGACCTGCTGGTTTCAGGGGGCAGGGATAAAAGGAAGGGGTCACTTACCGTCTCATGGAAGACATGGACCACTGCAAGGGATGGGTCATTATCTGCTGTAATACTCAAAGAAGCCTTGTCATAGGCAGAATCATAGAACTTAATCAGCTCCTTGGAGACCTGGAATGGAGGGAAGCAATCGGTAAGCGGAGGGCAATTACATAAACACTGTTCCTCCCTCACAAGAACAGCACAAACAAACATCATTTTGTATGAATGTGTGAAAGTGCCACATGCTACACATAGTGCATGTCCGTGACGCGTGTGCAGAACGGTCCCTCCAGGCTTACTTACTTGTTCACGGTTCATGAAGCCCCAGATTCCAGCAGCGACCTCACAGGCAAACAGAATGACCAGACAAGCGAAGAACTGCGAAAGGAATAGCAGAAAGACATGGAAAGATCCCGCGTAGCAGCTAGTTTTTCCCCAAACTAGACCGCAACATGCGGCTCAGATCATTCCAGGTCTAGCTTCTGATTGAAACTAGCATCTTTTTTGCATTATAATCAGGGATGGACATAACTGGTACGCAAGTACGCATTCACCTTTAGAAACGATACATACAATCGATTGTGGTAACAGTGTAAATGCGTACTTATTTTATGTGCACTTGCGCTGATATGAAAACAAAATATAATGAATTTAATATTTATATGCTAACTCTACTTCATTTACGGTATACAGGTTAAAATTCAAGGTATTTTCTTGTCATAGCAGCGCAAATGCACATAAAATAAGTAAACATTTGCGCTTTTACTAACAACTGATTGTCGTACGTATCGTTTTTAAAGGTGAATGCGTACTTGTCGACCAGTTATGTCCATCCCTGACTGAGTGTTTCCTAGCCCTGCAGGCCAACTAAACTAAAATTACTTTTAAAACATGTTGGCAGTTTGGCAAGACCAATGTGACAAAATATTTTAGTCAGCAAGTTACTATCTACCCAATGCAATAACCTTAAGGATAGACTAATATAAATTTTCCTGATTACTGTTGTGTATTATTTTCTTTAAAGGAAACTAAACTAAATTAAATTAGAGGAAAGATACTGGAAAGTGGACATATTTTTTTACCTTTCTTATTAGCAGATATGTTAAGGGCCTTAAAAGAACACAACTTGAATTTTAAATAGTGATCGATGAGGGTTTTGTAAGTGCATTAGGCTTCTTCAGTAAAAGGGGTTCAATGGCACCAAAACCCAGTATATTTAGTAATGCACTAAAACCACAGTGAGCGAGCGGCACTGAGTCGTCAGAAAATGCTTCCTGAGTTTTTATGGTCAGCATGACCACACCTTCCTTTGTGTTTCTGACTGGATTTATGCATTTGGGTGGGGGGGGGGCACTTACTGTTCCCAGAAGGCACTGTGACTCCTGAATGGCACCATAGCAGCCCAAAAACCCAACAAACATCATCACAGCACCAACAGCGATCAAGATGTAAGTGCCTGCAGAGAGAATAGAAAGGTCAGACTGGTTAGCAGAATGATACCCAGGTCACATGATCTCCATATTTCTACCGAATTTTCCCTGTGGCTCTGCATTACATCAGACCCCTGTTTTAGGTCAGTGAAACTAAATCTCATCAGATAACAGGAGAGAGAGCAGCAGTGAACATTCCCACCACTGCAACACAGTGGTGTTGCAAACCAGAGAAGCAGAGGCTCATGGGAGTGGGGAATTCTCCGGCTAGAGTCTATTAGGTTCGACCAGATCTAATTTGCCCAAAATGCAATGCAACAGGAAACCAATCATTATTTTGCAAATACTTGTTATATTACATCAGCTTTCCATGTCATTTATCAAACTTCATTTCTGTGCCTTTACTTTTATACAATTTTCTTATTTCATTTGTCTTCTGGGCTCTGTCTTGTCCATAATGTGTGATCATGCGTGTCTGCCCTGTGGACTGGCATCCCATCCAGGGTGTCCCCTGCCTCATGCTCTGTGCTTCCAAGAGTAGAGCCTAGGTTCACCACGAAATGGATGAGTGGAAATATTAATTTTTGTTATTCAAAGAATATGTATGAATCAATGGTCCATCACTATTTTTCCCTGAGGTCCAAATACCATCCAAAATCTGCCAACTGGCATGGGGGCAGGGGTATCCCGAAGATAAAATGAAAGGCCCCAGTGCTAACCACTATACCATCCCCTATTTATTCAGCTGGATAAAATGACAGACTCGTTTAGTTAAGAGTCCTTATGGGAACAACTGTAGGGTCACTCCTGGGCCTTGAGCTGGCAGCTTATTCTGATTATGTCTGCAATCACTGTGCTACCTGCCCCAAATATCACATGTACTTCATTTTGCAGATGCTTTTGTTCAATGTGACAAATGCCACAAATATGAAAAGGTATCTCTTAAAATGTAGCTAAAATGCATTTTACAGATTTCCATACAGCTTAGCGGTTGCCCTGGAGGTATGGTTAGCTGAAGGGGTGTCTCTAAATTGCTAGTAATTTGCCTGTGTGCTCATGGTCTGGCATCCAGCCCAAAGTGC